GAGATGAGATTATAGAGAGTGTGGAAACTATAGATGAATCACGTTGCTTAGTGTCGCAGTCAAGGCCTATGAAAGAATCCTAGAGGAAAGACTAAGAAGTACAGTGGAACCAGATTTGGAGGAAGCACAGTGCGGATTTAGGAAAGGTAGAAGCGCACAGAATCACGTATTCAGGATTAACCAAATGATCGAAAAGACTAGAACGAAGAACACCGAAGCATACATGGCCTTTCTAGATCTGGAAAAGGCATTTGATAGGATACCACTGAAGGTAGTGTGCGACAGTTTGGAAAAAAGAAATATATGCCCTAAACAATAAGAGGAATTAAAACACTTTATGCGGATAACATGAATTATGTCAGAAAGGAAAACATGGTATCCAATGAGGTGGTAGTAGCACTGGCACATAGGGGACTAAACTGGAAAGATGCAGTGAAGCTGACAAAAAACAAAAAACAGTGGGCTGCTATGATATATTCTACACAAGTTTGAGCGGGAAGTAGATTTATATTATACTATTTTATACTCCTTATACCTTCGGGTAGATAGGATTTTGATTATATATATATATATAGGTGAAAAATTAAAGCTTCCGCCTTTTGTTGGGTACTTCGACAAAATTTAAGCAAAGAGGACTCTTTATACTTTTTTTAATTCTCTCTAGCTTTCAATATATATATATAAAATTCAATATCTCAAAAACGGTGACACTTTTATATAGGTAAGTTTTTGTTATATTCTCCTTAAGTTTGTCGTGGTACTTATTCGACACCTTGTATAAAACTGAGAATAAAAGTAGGCAGATTTTGCACAATACTACGTTAAAAACAAAACATATTATTTGAAAACGAACATTTATGTAGAGTCAACAATTCAATTTACCAAGCAGTTTTAGTATATTTAGTAACTAATCAATAATACGGATATTTATTCAGGTTATTGGCACTGTGGGGGAAATCAATATGCGCTTAACTTATTGTTCAGATATACTTTTCCTTAATTCTTGCAGCGCACCTTGTCACTAATTTTCCCTTGCGAAGAAGTATTCATACAGCATATTGCAAAATCAGGCGAAATATAAAATGACAAAACATATGCATCAAGAACGCAGGTAGAAATTGGTTAGGTTTACCTGAAAGGGTCTCAGCAAATGGTAATGTTCATCAAGGAATTAATATTCCTATTCACATTTTGGGTTCCCTAGATATTTTACTTACCTACATAGGTAATTTTCTGCAATGCAGTGCTACAGGTTCGTTGTTCACTAATCCGATTGATCACAAAATGATTTTAAGTCACTGAACCAGCAACAAAAAGCAAAAATAAAAAAAATAAACAAAAAAAGAAAAAAAAGAAAAACTAAAATCGCAACCAACTATGTTCCCGGTCGCTGTCGTACTGTCGGGACTGTTGAAGTTGAATTTAAAACGGGCTAGCGGAACTAGTGAGGGTTCCCAGCTCATGCGTCATATGCAATACGAGAGGGCGAGGGAAACACTCTTTGTCTATTTTTAAATTTCCGAATTGTGTATTGATCAGCGGGATTAGGATTACTGTCAGGCAATTTCTTTCAGGATTGTACTCGCTATGACCACGTGCTAGCTGTCTCGGTACTTCCGATTAGTTCCATGGGCGGAGAATCTTAATAAGTACTAAAATAACGGGTTCGCGCGTCCGTTTTATTATGCAACATCTTGGCGGCTCACTTTTACCATTGAAGATAGCTAACCTATGCTATATTCCAACGTCCAAAAAATTATCCCTGATAAAACGAAATATCGAACGTCATCTATTAGAATTGGTCACAGCTGCTTCTCTACTTACTATAGGGTGCATATGCCAGTGGTCGGACAGTTTAAATTAGATAGACGAAACTGGAATACAAAGTGTAATTACGAATTTTGTGTTCAAGTTAACACAACTAATGTTTTTGAAGATGATCATAAATATATATCTTGTTAACTTTCCGATGACAACAAATACATTGCTTATAGATATTTCTGTAATTTCATAAAAAAATATTAATCAAAAAGGTGCTATTTTGCCTGTACTCTAACAGCAAGTACCTAAGGCCCTACTTAGCGGGGACCTTGGCAAATGCTTGCTCCGGAAGTTGTTGTACCCTGAATACAACTTCGTCGCATTCAAGAGATTGTCACGCCTTAAGGAATACCTGAGTACCGATTGGATGATGGACTCCTCGAGTACTAAGAATTCCGGACGTAAACTCACTCCACTCTTGGAATTTCCGGGAGTATGGGGGATTCGAGGGAACAAACATCGATGATAAAATTTGTTTCACGAACATCTGCGAGATTAACACCAACATTGATGCTGTTCATCATTACCTGCAATCTAATCGTTCCCCAATGCTTTTCTTGGCGGAGTCTGCATCGATTAATTATCACAGCCTCCCAAATTCCGAGATGCACTCCAATCTGAGAAAAAACGCTGGAGTTGAGGCTTTGGTCCACAGTAATCTTTCCTGCTCCAGGCAAGTTTCTTTGGAATCAGACCGGAAGGGTATTCTGTGGTCTCACCTCAACTCCAAAACATCCACCAAATTTATTTGCTGCCTTTATCGCTCTCCCTCAGACCATAACTGGAATGACCTACTTGAATATGTCGCTGGCAAGATCGACTTCTTGAACATCAATCATCCCAGAGGTAGTTTTCCTCGGAGATTTCAATGCCCATAATGAGCTTTGGTTAGGCTCAAACAAGTCCGATGCACCAGGTCGTGCAGTTGGAGCGTTCGCTATTACCCAAGACTGACCCAGCTGGTAACGAGCTCTACTTTTTCCCCCGCGTTTCGTCACACGCCAGTAGCCTGCTGGGTGTCTTTCTGAACGCATCCTGTCCCTGCCTCCCCTAGGTAACTCAGACCACGGTGTTGTGGAGGTTAGGTTTCGGTCAGAATCTGCAGCGGCATCAGAAACTCGCCCAGGTCTCAAAATTTGGCATCACGGACATGCCGACTGGCAGGGGCACAGAGACTTCTTGTACACCTTTCCTTGGAGAGATGTTTGTTTCGCTAACGCGGATGCGTTGGCCGTCTGTTCATCGATAACAGAAATTATTCATGTTGGGATGGAGAAATACATTCCTCATACAGTGAAAATGCCTAAATCAAGGACCAATGCCTGCTTCAACAAATCGTGCGTCACTGCTCGTCAGCAGAAGATCAAGGCACACAGAACCTTCTTACAAAACCCCGCTGTAGAGAACAGACAAGGCGACGTCGAGTCCAGAAACAAATATAACGAAGCGGTCCGCAATGCTAATGACCAAGCACGATATAAAAGTTAGGCACAGGGTAATTTCGCAGCGCAACGGAAATCGGTCTTTCTGGACGCTGGCCAAGCTGATTGAAAAAACATCTCACAGAGTACCACCACTTACATGTGAGGATGGAACGATTGTAACCGGCTCAGAGGCTAAGGCGAAAGTGCTTGTCAAGATCTTTGCTGCCAAGTCCATCATTGGATGTCCCCCCAACGCCTGCGTGCCGTCGATTCAAAAGGTTCCCTACACTATGCGGGAAGTAGCATTCACACATAAGACGGTCATCAACAAAGCTTCTGGTCCAGACTTGATTTTTGGCGTTGTACTGAAAAGGTGTACATCCGAGCTTGCTCCAGTTCCTTCGCGTCCCTTCCAACTTACGCAATCGGCACTTTCCCAGAAAACTGAAAATTTGCTCATGACCAGCCTATCCCAAAAAAGGGATCTAGGAACAACCCTTACAACTACAGGCCTATACTGCCTTCCTTAGTTAAAACGTCCCAATACCAGTTTACCAAAATTTGTAATTTATAGATAGAACGTTCTGTGTTTGCAAGCCCGTAATGTTTGAACACAAAAAAAAATATTCAAGTAATTTTGGTACCGACAGACCCTCCTAACTTCGGCCTCCCATTCTAACCGTGTCGAACGTCGTACATCCAAATCTCAATAGGTCGAAAAAGCGATCCCCTATGTAATTTATTTTTCGGCGCTCGTGTTCACGTGGCTCCAAAGTTTATTGATTTTTTCATTAGGCTGACACATACCTGCTATATGCGTGTTTAGCTCTAGACAAAAAACAAACACCTAGTAGAGTAAACCAAAAAATAGGTCAGACAACCTCACAAGAAATATCTTAACTTGAATGGGAAAGATGTTGGGAACATGCCCAAAAAGGCAACAGAACTCACGATAAATAGGATTCAGCCCCATGTAGCTACATGATGTCTAACAGGGCTCAATGGACTGAATACACAAAATAGGGTTATAATATGATGGTGGCCTGAACTACAATGTATAAGACATGACGGTTGTGAATGGATCACAAAAACAGAAGAACTGTACGAATTAGTACAGAATTTAAGACTTCTAGAGGAGAAGTGCGATGCAATAAGCCTGAAAGGCTGCGGTGATACCGGACAAAAACTATAGTCCGTCTTGTAGGGAACTTGATTTTGAAAGTAATAGTAATAGTAAAATACAAATAAATTGATTAAATCAATATGATTTATCCATAGAAGGTAATGCCGGTGCATGGATCAATTTATTTTGGATTGCAATTTATAAAAAAGAAAAATTCCAATTTTATTATTCTCACGCCGAAGCAGCCACGCCGGCAGAAGCCTAAATGCCAGGGCACCGCGGCTGCTATAAGGATCCCAAAGAGACTGTTAATCCGATTTTTGAACCAAGGTTAGCAGAACTGGGAGAAGCTTCCTCATGTAGATTTTTCCACAACTTCTGTTGTGGATGTACACAGTTCGACACGGTTAGGATGGGAGACTGAAGTCAGACGTGTCGTCCTCTATACAGCATGTCAAAGTCAATGACCTCCAGCCCTCCTCAGAACTCTATCCAGCATGGATAATGTAGTCTGGACGAAAGCACCCTCAACATGTGAGCAATACTCGCGGCTAGATCTTATCTGGGCCTTGTACAGAGTGAGGGGGGTCATGTGGAGAAAATTACTTCTTAGGCCTAACCAAATAGCGTACCTTTTTCCCAGCAGCTGCCGCGATTGACGAAATGTGTTCGTGCCAAATCAAGTCCTCGGTGATCTGGATTCCGACCGGCCAAAATTAATGGCTCTCGCAGAACTCGGATGGGCGCTAGTACGCTTTTTGTTCGTCAAGGTACAGTACCGTGTTTTGGTAGCTTTAACCTTTCCAAGATTGTTGCGTCTCCAAGCAGTGGTAAGTTCCAGGTCTGTCGCCAGAGAGGAAGTCGCTGCTAGTCTTCTTTTAACCAGCTCACTGGCAGTAAAAGTATGAGAGTATTAATGTATATTATTAAAGATCATTTCATGAATATTGTTCATTGCTTGTGTGTTTATAAATTTTTTGCGAACTCGTCTTGAAGCTGTACCTATTTGTTTTAAATCATTCAGTAAATGTTTAAAAAGCTTTGGAGCTGGCGAGATCGTTTCATTATAGATCTGTTCGGTTTGAGAACATTTTTTGCACGTAATTTGTATCGGGTGTTATGAAAATGGTTAATTGTGCCACGTTCACTAATAATTTTGTGATAGTGTGAAATAATTTACGAGTACCTCATGGTAAAAAAACAAGGTGGCACATAACATAATGGGTATAGATAGCGTGCAGATAACAGACGGTAATATATCTAATTAATAAAACAACAGTAAAAAATCGCTGACCTCTTGGGCACTGCATCTGCAGCACCAGTCTTGCATAAAAGAGGGTGCCTGAGTGTACAGTTCACCATATCATTGGCGGAGTTAAGCCGTTTTTTATGGAAATTCATCACATTTACACGTATACAGAGATACCAGTTTAATCTTGTTCATACTACGGTACTACTTGCGTTTCAAAAATTATACGCCAAAAATGTAATCGTTTCACTTCCTATGCCGAAACTGGCGAGGCAGTATTGTAATCGCGAAAAATTTCGAACTTGAGATACCATTATGTTTTTTGGATGTTAACTGACAAAGTATGTACAACACGAAAAACCATATCACTCATTTCCGTCGGTCTGTCTGTCTGTCGGCCTGTCCGCTAATTTTATAACTTGAGAAGTAATGCTCGAATTTTGATGAAATTTTCATATAAGGTTACTTCTATAGGTACTAAGGATGAAACAGCTTTGTAGTTTTTGCAAATCGGTCTAGTGGTGGCAGAGCTAGGAGTAAAAACACCAGAAAATAAAAATTGCTTAAACTTAGTTTTTTGACGTTTCAGAGGCTCATTTTCGGAAAAAAATTTGTGAGCATTGAAACTTGGGGGTTGGTGATTGTAGGGGGTAGGCGGTTATAAATGTAAAATGATGTATACTGTCCTCATAATTCGAAATAACTTTTCAATCGTTAGCGCTGCGTGCACGGCGCGATGCTGCGTCATCGTGGAGGCCACTACCTAAGTGAACCTACCTAATCACAATTCGATTTTGAAACGATTTGACTCATCCCTTCTCTTCTCAATATCCAACGAAGGCGTAGGAAGTATAAAATCAATCTACTTGACGCCATTTCCTGATAAAAACTACCATGGCTGTAGGAACACTATTTTAAAGAAATTGATCATATTTCGGTTGAAAATATGCAAGGTTTTAAGTAATACGCTGTATTGCTTCTAGGTCGTGATAGCAGACCTAAAATACAATACATACGGCAACGGCAGTTTTGCTGTTATTTGCCTAAACTACTGCAACCCGCATCTCGTCGCCATGGTTTGGGCATTGCAGGATCGTAGGATTTTATATGGAGTATCTTATCGGAACAATATGTGAAGAACGAAATACGACGAGCTAAAGAACAAAAAAAAAACGAATCTAGCTACTGGTCCGTGCAACAACGGTTATGTTATTTGAAGGCACGTACATGCTGTCCGTGAGGCCCAAAAGGGTTGAATGAGGCCAGCAGAGCGGTTGCCATCTCTAGAGCATCCAATTTCAGCAAGCTACATGGCTAGAACGCTGTATGATTCTTGCAAAAATCCCACATAATACCCATTTTACATCAACAATTTCTTGACGAATTTATTCAGATATATTTCTTTCAATGCCATCCTGATTATGTTTTGCGGTGTGTACATCAATGGACAAATTCATCGTTTATCTGTGAGTAGGTATTCCACTCAACAAGTTCTTGGATTTACTTGACGTCAAATTCCTGTTTTACATTTTTGGGATGTGGTCATGAACTCAATTCATGAAGAAATCCGTGGATTTATTGTCAATGTAAAATTTATAAGAAATCACGATCTGACATACGGAATTTTAATGGCAGTTGCGAAATGTGGGTGTTGATTTCGTAATTGCGCGTGTTGTGGGCCCAACTATACGGCTTGTCGTGCGCACATGGTTCCAAACATATGAGCATACAAGGGATCCCGTTAATGGTCGGGTGGAATCAGCTGATATTATACAAAGGGAGCACGAGCGACGCGCCACAATGCATAGGGGTGGGTTTCCCCTACTTTTTTGGTCGCCAGACGACTAGAGTCTCGGAGGACATTCACCCTACGTAAATCGTGATGATTAGAAACGGGCGCATGATACTTTTAAAACAGGGCAGGAACGGATGTATTGTCTCTAGAGGATATGACGTAGGTTGTAGGGTTAGGCTGATTTCAAGCTTGATACACACAAAAAATGACGTCACTTCCAATAGTTATTTGCATATCAAAGTAGGATTAGCGCGAGATAAAATTTCCGAAAATTTTCTCTCTGTACTCATTTACCATATCGAACGCTCGAGATGGTGGATTTCCTTTAAATTTTATGGTAGTATTTCTAGAATGTTAGATATCGTAATATGATAATATATATATATATATATATATATATATATATATATATATATATATATATATATAATAATGTACATACAGTGAAATTCTCCTTCGCGGACCCCCTCTTACACGGACACCTCCTTTAAACGGACAGTTTCTCATGGTCATTCTTATATAATTTGCATTGTATTAACTCTCTTTTGGACGGACGTTCTCTTGAACGGACGCGGACACGAGAAAATGTTCTCCTAACTGGACAAAAAACAAAATATGTAAAAAAAGCCTTGTCTTACTTTTTTCTGTTAAGGGCATCGCTATTGTATTTCTCAATCGTGCCGCATGCCATCTTCGCTGGGACTTTCTCGAGTAAACCGGGGATTCACCTACTTTAATCTTTCAGTACAAACGCAGCCTATGTGGGGTGCATTTCTGCCCGGCAGGAAATAGGAACTTCCCCGAGTTGGTCGGGGATTTACCGTTCTTATTATTTGGGTACACTCTTACCAGGGTTGCCAGGCGTGACGAATTTTCGCCAAAGTGTCGATTTGACGGCTTCAAATGGCGACTGAAATCGATAGCTTGGTAATTGGCTACTTCAGTGGCACCCCGTATCCAACAAATTGGCGATATCTGGCGATTTTTAGCATTTCTGACGTCACTTAATTTGTAATACATTTTTACCGATATAATAATAATAATAATAAATCGTCTTGATTTAGGGGGCGAAGTTTAGCATAATGCTACTCTGCCACTGAAACCCCCCCTCCCAAAAAAAAGAAAAACTGAAAATCAATACAAAAAACAAATACATTTGATAGGTTACAAGTTTAAAAATGTAGGTGTATAAAAAATATGATGTATATAACATATATAAGTGAAGGCTATTCAATAATCCATGAGTTAAAAGTATAAAATTGTAACAGTTATACAAACAAAGGAATGCTATATTGGAAATATTTTTGTGTGAGGTGACAGATAAATTTTTTCAACTAATTTATATACTTCTAGGTATTCAAAATAAATGTCTTCATATGTCTTTTAAATTCATCATATGAGTAATTTTGTGGATCAAGGTATAGCATTGTAAGAAATAATTGTATAGATTAATGAAACATGAAACGAGGACCAGCGGAAGTTCTGTGCTCTGAGCACAATGGATCCGACCCATGTGAATGAACTTATATCGTTCATATTACAGGAGATTAACTAACCCCCCCCCCCCCCCATCCCCCCCCCCACAAATTCATTCTAATCTCTAGCCTGGCGTTTTATGGTTGACTCCTAGTTATTTCACAGATTGGCGATTTCTGGCGATTTTCCCATCAAAACTTTGCGACCAACGTGACTGAACCCTGGCAATCCTGAAGCTTACGATTTTTGCATTCAGTATGTCTGAAGTCTGTGTGGAAAAGACACAGTCGGCGACACATTTATTGGGGAGATACAGAGTTTTTGGAGCTTCTTTCTAAATTAGAAATACGATTTCAATTCGCCATTTTAAAGAGAAAGGGGAGACAAACGACAATATATGAATTTTTGCGTCTTCAAAGTGATTTTGTATTTCATTGTTTTGTGTTACTACATAATAGGAGGGCACGCTGTATATTTTGAGATGCGCATTAAAACCGGCAACAGTGCACTATTAGAAGGAGCACTCGCAGGGGCATGAAACGTCTTATGGGCGAACTGGCGTCACCAGGGTCATGCTCTCCAGGCAAAATCGAGGTAACTGTATTACCGGCGTCACGTCAAGCTTCCGCGTTGCCAAAATGTTACACCAGAAAATGTTCGCACAGGCTTCTACTTTAGGCTAGGTTACTGTCAAACCCAAGAAGGATGCCGATTTGAAGCAGGGCGACACTCCCCAATGTGCGCTAGATGGGTACTGACCAAAATCGCTCGTCAATGAGCATGGAGGTGGAAACCTTGCCTTCGAATGTACAAGATCCGGTGTTATCAAACGAACCAATGATGCAATGTTGCAGGATTTATGTCGAACCTGACCTTTCATGCCGACCTAAAATGCAGCGCCCTTCGATCCTAAACAGATTCGACACAATTCACTATTAAAAAATGTGTACGCTCAAAATAAAACCATTATTTGGACGTAGAGAACTAACGCATGTTTTTAACATGCAGCTCAAATCAAGGAACTGGTGTAACATAATGGCACCGAGGCAGATTACCGCGTCAGCGTTGATAGGCAACGCGGTGATGAGCTTCGCTATCCAACCGGCTTCTATCTCTTTCTAGCATATAGTGTCTATAGACACTTCTCTCTCGAACACATTGAACTTAAGCGGTCAGATAAATTTGGTTTTCGGTGGAGATTAATGAAACATGAAACGAGGACCAGCGGAAGCTCTGTTCTCATCGTACAATGACGCTTATGGTCAAATGTCATGTCAAGGTGTGGTGTTTCAAGCATATCAACGACATCCCATCCTAAGGCCGGCATTACACTATAAAAGTTCTTTGACAAAGATATTTGATAAAAGAAG